ATTTGTTTGGCTATGGACATATCCTCGTGTATCTTTTTTTCTCACCTTGATGCAGGAAGTTCTGATTCTTTGCAAGCGGCATATTTTAAGGTGGGATCTTCTGTCTCAGGCACAGTTTGCAATTCCGTAAGTTTTTTGTATCTGCAGTGAAGGTCCCCATGGAGATTTGAACTCCCGTCGCAGGATTCAAAGTCCTGAGTGCTAACCACTACACCACGGGACCTGCGCCTCACAGGTAGTACTATGTCGCGTGTGCTGATTCCCAAAGCAGTCAAAGCACAAAGAACCCGCTCAAAGATGTTCTTCGATCTCTATTTAACCCTAATGGGTACCTGTCTAGAAAATATCCAAACAGTCATAGTTGTCGACTACCAGCAACGTTGCCCAATTCCTAACTTATTCTTTCGCGTTGACCAAAAATGGTTCTTTTAGCTCCTCTCACAATGCCTTTTCGAGCCCAACATACAGAATCTCTTCCGACGTGTGGTCAGTAATATGATATTCTAATTTCGCAAATTTCGACCCGATGAAAAAGTACTTAATTTGTTTGAAGAGAGACATATCCTCGTGTACCTTTTTTTTTCACCTTGATCGAGGAAGCTCGGATCGTTTCCAAAGAACATATTTTACAACGGCATTTTTCGTCTGAGACACGGTTTCAAATTCTGTAAGTTTTTTGTATCTCTAACGAAGGTCCCGGGGAGATTTGAACTCCCGTCGGATGTTTTGACCCGAATTGGTGACCCTGGGGAAAACACTTTCTAGTTCAGTAGAAAATGAAAGATTTTAAAATTTGTTTGAGGAGACACATATCCTCGTGTACCTTTTCTTTTTCACCTTGATCGAGGTAGTTCCGATCATCTGCAAAGAACATATTTTGCAACGGCAATTTTCCTCTAAGACAACCTTTCGAATTCTGTTAGTTTTTTGTATCTGTAATGAAGGTCGTAAGGAGATTTGAACTCCCGTCGCAGGATTCAAAGTCCTGAATGCTAACCATTACAAAACGTGACGTGCGTCTCACAACGCCTTCTTCGTCGAACATGAAGGTTTTCGAAGTAACCAAAGGACAACCAAGCCTCTGGAACACGTACTTGCATTCCTGGTTAACGCCAAGGCGTGGGTGTCTAGAAAATGTCGAAAAAGTCAGGTTGTCGACTACCAGCACGGTTGTGCAAATTCTACCTTATTCTCTTGCTCTCATAAAAAAGAGTTCGGTGGCTGATTTCCCAATGCGTTTTCAGGCTCAGCGAGCGGAATCTCCTCCGTAGTGTGGTCAGTAATCTGGTATTCTGATTTCGCAAATTTGGACCCGAATTTGTCAACCTGCGGCAAACACTTTCTAGTTCAGTAGAAAACGAAAGATTTTTAAATTTGTTTGAGGAGAGACATATCCCCGTGTATCTTTTTTTTTTCACCTTGATCGAGGAAGTTCCGATCATTTGCAAAGAACGTATTTTACAACGGCATTTTTCCTCTGAGACAAGGCTTGTAATTCTGTAAGTTTTTTGTGTCTCTAACAAAGGCCCCGGGGAGATTTGAACTCCCGTCGCAGTATTCAAAGTCC